GTCCAGTCAGCGGTTCTTGAGATAGCTCGCTGACAAGAGTAAAAAGTTAATGTCCCCTTGTGACCTTGAAATGAATGTCAAGGTCACCAAACCTGACTGGGACCTTTCTTATACTGTGATGAATGTAGGTACCAAATATGAAAAGAATCTAGTCAACGGTTCTTTAGATATTCTAATTCGTACGTACGTACAGATGTACGGATGGACGGACGGACGGAGCCTAATACTATATCCCAGGCCTCGCGTTTAGCGTCAGGCAGGGGATAATAAAACTATGTCGGAAGTGAGTGGTCGATCTTCCCCATTACATGTGAATCAGTTATTCCAACTACACCTGATCTGCATTAAAGTATTTGGAGAATTACATCTAAATAAGCTAAAAGATCAAGGGACAATAATCCACAACTGAAGTACCCCTACTTGATACTGTGAACATACTTTTTTTTGCTCGGTGCAAATTTTGAGGAATTGACAGTTTAGACTACATCGCATGGTCAATTATTCGTGCAATCAGTAATTGCCGGAACTGCCAGCTGCCTCAAAGGCCGCCACTAATAGCAATGAAAACAACCAGAGTGGCTTAACCTGTCAGACGGCGTGTATTGCTTACTCACAGGAAATCCCTACCTGCGCGATATATACAGTAATACGTTTACTCACGGAAGTATTAAGTACTTAGGAAGTGAGATATTGTGATGGTACTAGTATGTTATATAAAGAGATGAAAAACACATCAGTCTTATGTTCCGAATTCTGACGATGGCATTGCAAATGTGGTTAAAGAAAGCACCTACCCCAATTAGACCGATCCAGTCCCGGCCGATAAGCCCCGCCCACTTCGTTTTTGACGTTAGGGGGGACAACCACTGACTAATCACAATGGCATCCCCGCCGGCGAAACGTACAAGGTTGCGAATGTTGTTGATGAATTCTACCTCTGGTACTTTGGTATCCGTCGTTTGTGAATGATATTTAAAGAGGCAAGTTATACGGATGTGATTTTTAATATATTTTAGCTGGCAGATTGCAAATGGCGAGTCAAAATGAGTAACATGCCCGATGAAAAATCGTCCAGCTGCTGAGTGTAGGAAGCATATATTCTCCCGAATCAGTTCACCTCCGTCAAAGATATTAGCAGGGGAAGGGTAACTGAAATTTTTTTTTTTTTTCTTTTTTTAAATTCCCATCATAATTTTATAATAACCATGAACACAACCACATGTTCATGTTGCAGATCGTTTCGGTATCTATAAATAGATTGTCAACACTGCGCATGGCGCCTTTACTTACAACTATAGTTGGAGTTATTCAAATTTAGTTAAATCAATAATCTGAAAACATGTGTTTCTATCGTTTAACGAATTAAACGAATGGTAAATAAAAGCAGAAAATATTTCCCGTCTACTACTCCGTGCACCTTATTTGTCTGTATATTATTAATGTAAACAAATCAATCACAGCATAATCTATTTGATCTTATTTGGAAATCTGTTAAAGGTTATTTGGCTTGTAAACAGTATGTTTCCATGGATGTATCTGGACAAACCCAAAACCAAATATTCAACAGCTGACACCATCCTAAAATGACACTGAATATAAGGAAATCCGTTTTTTTATTCAGCCTTTCCATTTCATTTATCTATATGTACTTTGTTGTGGAATCCTAATTTACATACAAACTTCCACAATACTGGACTTCATGAACTGCCAGCATTTATGTACAGGTATGTCACAGCATCAGAACACAAAGAAGATCAAGGATACAGTCTGCACCTGTACACTAGCTGACCCATCTTCCAGAAATAGGAACCTGTGATGCAAAATCTTATCCAAACAATTAACTAGCATTTAAATAGAATGTTACACAAAATACAAATGTATTGTTTTTTCATCAGAGATGTTTAACTGCTAAATACTTGTGTAAATAAGGTGCAAAGAATATATCCTATGTTCAAAGCTTTTTGTCAATACAATTACATTAATTGACATTAATGATAATCTTTGTTTTATTAGATCTGAGACTATATCCCTAGAGGACATAACACTGATTTTGATCTGTTTCCTTTTCTGAGATACTTACTAGTGTCATAAAAATTATAGTAAAGTTGATTCAAAATTTGGTAAATGTTATAACAAAGGTTTAGGAAAACACACATGAAAATGTCCTGAAGCTTTCACCTCCTGCAAACCAGTGTGCAATTTAATATGAAGCTCATTTTCCAAGTAACCATCAACAAACCTTCAACAATTTGTCCAAAACTAATAAACATTAACTTTGGCTCATTCTTCAAATATTAGTAACCTCCTAAAACTATGATGATTTATAAGAAGAATTACATCAAATCTGGGTTAAATATATGATTTTAAAAAACATCTCAAAGCAGGAACCAAGAAACTAGGTTAATACCAAGTGATTGTATTGTGTTTGTTTGCCTAGTTCTACCTTAAAATCATATGAATCTGATATGTCAATCAGTTAAATAATTATTTATAATTCTTTAGATTACTATTTATTTTATTACCCTTCCACGTTTACTAGAAAAACGCAAGATTCTTAAAACATACCTTGCTATCATTTCCAGTGAATTAATCAAAATGACAGTTGTAATATTACTCCTAAAACATACCAATATATGTGAATAATTAATGTTGTAACAAAACTTCAAATAATGTTCTCGTAATTAAGATATACACTTTATATCACTCCATCCAATACTCCAGAAGTCACTATATTCTTCTTACATAGTTTTCGTATTCATTCGATCAACATGGAGGAAGGTAATTCAATTCAAAGTCACATGCATCTCTTTATAAAAATTCTGAAATATTTAAAGCATGGTTTTATAGGCACTCATATGAATTATTTTTTATACTTGGATATTGCATGATAGGCAACTGCTGATACTGACAATATTTCCGTTTGAATAAAAAATATTACTCCTCGAATATTTTGCTCTGTTAACAAGATACTGTACAGTAGGCCTTCAGATTGTGCTTTTGAAACTTAAAACATCCTAAAATGTGTGACAAATTTAAGAATATCTAAGAGCGAAGGGAACACTATCCGCCACATTGTTCTTTCATGTAACAAGATTTGCTATTTCGGTCGACCCTAACCGAAATCAGATTGCTGTCAGATTTGTTAACATTGTGTCACGGCTTTCTCGCCTGTCTCATTTGAGCTTTATGGCGTACCAACTTAATGCCCAGTAGTGACTAAAAACGTTAAGCAAAAACAATTTTGTAGTTACAAGAAGTGTCCGTGTTTATAACACTTGCAAAGTCTTAAACTACTTTTTGTTGTCATCAATTGGTAATGATTTTGCACATGTGCAAAAGTGTGGAAATTCGTGCAAATTCTCATCTGCAGGCAGACGTAGGTTTCGTGAACGATGGTGCAGACATTTAACTGATCGTTAGGCCTGTCACGCTCTTTGATCCGCCTCAATTGTTTTGTGTTGACCGTAATGGTTTTGGTAAAGGTACACATCAAAATCGCAGCAATATGTAATCGAAATAGCGAGTGTTAATGGCATAGTTCGAAGAACATCGCTTCGGAGGCATCGTTTGACCCCGGAAATAAGTCTGACAAATCCACACAGCGCGCCCGGCCTGCTGATTGGCCAAAATTGACGCATGCGCCAGTTTTGATTGACAGACTGGATCGGTCTATAAACCTGGACTTCCAGACTTTGTGATTTCATTTCGTGATATGCAGGAATAAATATAAATAAAATCTTAATGAATAAATAAAATACTGCTGTATTATTTCTTTCTGAGTCGTTTCATGGTAATCCGTTTTGTATCAAACCATCTGTCACTACGATTGGTCAAAATAGAACATGTCGGGACATGAAATCCATCACTGTGTATAAATTCTCGAGGTAAAATATTTGCTCAATAAGCGAGAAAATATAACCTGTGAAATATATAATACGTTTACAGTATATACATAAAATCATTCATTCTCGTTACATGACCATTTACAATACAACAATGCACATTTATTAAAAAGTCAACAAAATGCCAACTGTTGCTGTTAACATTGCTGTCAATAACACTCCTTGGGGTTAGAGTGTCAGTACCTTCAACACAATCTGGAAGGTCTCCACATCTGCTATTAAAGTCACTGCATATAAATGCTATCCTTTTCAACCTTTATATCTGGCAATTTGAATTACATGAGTTTCAAAATAGTATGACCCATCTATGTATCTTAACAAGTTTTCAGGTGGTAAATAACAGACACTTATGATAAAAACATAATTAACATATTGCTTGGAATAAGTATATGAAGTTTCAGCCTTATTTGGCCAGAGGTTTCAGAGAATATGTTTACTGTGTATCAAACAGCATTTTCATACTTTATAATTACGGCTGCATGCATTTCAGATCAAGGTGACTGAAACACTTTCTGTCACCTACAAAGTTTAGTCCATATGTATTGAGGAAGATTTCTATTTCTAATATCTATAACAGGAATATCTTGCAGTCATAGTGAAACTGTATTCCCTTACAGTAAAAGCATCTGTCAGTAAGTAATGAATTATGTTATTTTTTAATTTCAATTAAGGACATTCAGCCAGTTCAACAATTACATACACCCGGCAGAAGCACCCGATTTTGTTTGCTCTTGTATGTGTGTAATTTTTTATGTAACCACGTGCTGTCCGTGGTTTTGACAGTGTGAGTGCGCCTTGCCTTGCCTCGCAAATGTTGCGGATATGCCTGTACTTGAAACGTGAATGCCAGTAAACTTACACAAACTACTGGCGACTTCGTCTTCTTTTCAGCATCAACATATAAATTTATCTAAATCACTCAAATAATTTCAGAGAAGAAGTCATGATTGTAATTGACACAAGACCTGCAATGAGAAACAAGTCGCTCGTCGTAACCTGTTCCCTGTAACCTGAAATCCTATAAAAGAAATGATATAATCTTTTACCAAGATCCTTCAATTAAAGGCAGCAAACTATATTTTGTGACAATCAACTGACCTTCTGTTTCTTCCTTTCTATCTCCCATTCACTAATTGTCTCTGTGTTCACATCTTCATCAGATGACAGACTGTGCAGATGGGCAACAACAGGCTGTTTTGGAACAGCTGGGGCAGTGCTAGATGGGACCAATTCAGTCTGTGAGGAGCAAACAGAAACAGGAATTTTTTTTATACCTTTCCATGTGTATTCCAGTGCATGTCAGTGGTGAAAGCCCTCAAAAACTTGCCACGCCTCTATATTTTGCAATGCAATGCGCCATAATTGTTGACACTGTGAATTGTTGTTGGAATGCTCGCATGTATGATGTTGCGGTAAATATGAAATATGGACTTGAGCATGTGTCTGACCGCTGATTGTCGAATTTGTATCGTGTGCTTGCATTCTCTCATTTGACACCATGATCATGGAACACTCTTGACGTATAAGAATAAAACTGCATTGGCAGGAACTACTCTTATGTGATTTTTTTTTCTCTCTGTTAAATTTGTGTAGCACTGGTAAGTTGGTGAAGCACGAGCCGGTCGTACATACGCACAACATATGGGAACACAGTAAGCACAAAGTACTATACTTTGGGGGTAACCACGAGTGGTGCTTACAACAGACGTGGGGGACACCGGTAATGGGCTTCAAACATTGTACAAATGTAACCACAATTGAACCCGGTGTAACAGGCGGAACTTTCCCCCTGGCCAAACCTTCCCTGAGGAAACTTTGGCCTAGGCCAAACTTTCCCCATCCTTCAATCAAAGGCTACTCCTTTCCCACTCTTGTTCTTATATCAAAAGGGGGAGATTCTGGCCTAGCTAGGCTATTTCTTCCCCAACCTTGTTTTCAAGTTTTTTGTTCGTCTTGAAAAAGTCAGAAACAAAAACAAGACATAGCTATTCACGTGAACACATTGATAAGATATTCATGTTGATGTCAAGTTCCATTAACAATTTACAGGTCATCTTCATAATAATAAAGAGCATGATAAGAGAGCAAGCAACCTCTGTACCGGTATATTGCATCCTAAAAAACCATCAAATGTGCGATTGAATGTTTACATCTTATGGTGGCATGATTTGGACAGATGAAGACCTAATGCAATGTGTCTTCATAGGAATGGCAGCAGGAGCATGATGGATTTAGAGATATATGCCATTCAAACATGTATGCATTCAAATCACTTACCCAAGTCAGAGGCAAGAATGGAGTATTTAGCAAAAATGTGTACCAAAATTTATGTCAAAACTACTGTTGGTTTGATGTTTGTAATAACTTGTTCTCCCTCTTTTGATATAAGAGCACTGGTGGGGAAGAAGTGGTCTAGCTAGGCCAGAATTTCTCCCTTTTCATATAAGGAACAAGGGTGGGGAAGAAGTATCCAAGCTAGGCCAGAATCTTCCTCTTTTCATAGAAAACAGAACAAAATATCCTAGTTTAAACAGGGGAAAACTCTGGCCTAGGGGAGGAAACTTTAGACTATCCCAAACTTTCCCGGGGGTAAGAATATCCCAGGACAAAAGATCTACCAGGGATATTTTCAAATAACAGCATCTGATGGGCACACATCGTTCTTATTGTCTCGTTCTTTAGGTTGAAGAAATTCTGCCAGTCTCCGTGTCCCTCAGAGTCAAGGACCACCTGACAGCTAAACGTTGTGATTAGATTGTTGGCGCCTAACAGGAATCGCTCTGGATCATTGCCCCTTTAACAGTGTCATTTCTGATATACCGTAAACAAATTTAATTATCATGAATAATGAAACGGATTGGCAAACAAGCCAAAGGCTTATCATAATGTCGCTCCAATACAAAAGCATTGATTATATACATATGTATTACATGTCAACATTAACTCACAGAAATAATTGAGTGACATTGAATTTGATCAATGAAATAAATTTATTTACGGTAGGTTTACAGTTATGTATTACAATGTATTTGAGTACATTACTTGTTTAAACTTTGTTGAAATTCTCAAATCATAGGAGTTATTCGCAGATACATGTCATGGTCCATCGGTAAGGCACTGACAACTTGGCAGTCGACTGTTGTGTACTTGCAAGAAATGAACTCAAGAACACCATCTGGAGCAAGAGGTCTTGTCATCCAACAAATTTCTATCTGATCATTTTGTTCCACCCATCAATGACCATCTGTTGCCCGTGGAGTTGGATATTCAGCTTCCAGACATTTGCTCCATATTGCAGCTTGATAGTTTGCTCTCAGGACGGGCATACATAGACAATCAAAGCAGGGTGGCAATTGTTCTTATTCAGTTGCCCCTTTTCTCACTTCAAATAAGTGGCAGCACAATTGATTGACATCCCTTATGGAAGAACCCGAGGCATACAGGTGGCATGTGAATGCTTGAAGTGAGTCGATCAAACCTGGTGGCACAGTCCACTCATTCCCAAGTTGGTGGAAAGCCTCTTGATCTTGATATTCCTTGCTGCTGACAAGAAGTTTCAATGCATTGACATTCCCTCTGCCTCCAAAAGAACTGACAGTATCACATACAGTGTGTGCGTGTAGTCCAGGAAGGGCCTTGCAAATGCTTTGACCAAACCCCACAGCAACTTTCTTGATATTAATTAATCTTTGGCGATATTTTGTACCAGCTTTGATGTAAATATTGGTTGCCATGTCACTGCTCTTTGCTAAGGACAAGACAGAGACATCTGTGTCATCTGAGGAAATGACAACTGATTTTGTAGGATTCCTAAGATGCATTTTCAGCATGCATCAGCAACTGCGTGTCTGCGTCTTCTTGCATAGTTGACAAGGATTCAACTTCAGCTGAAGATTCAGAGGTCATTCTGTAGCACTTGCTTCCACATGTCACACACAGTATTCTGTCTTCAGGTTTGGCCCTGGAATGAGGAAGCTGCCAGTCTTGACCAATGAACTGGATAATATTAGTTTTGCTTTCTGATGAAGTACGAAACCGTCTCCACTATCGTGTCTTGTGTCCTGAAGCAATGCTACAGTTGACTAAGCTATTCTCTGATCCCCGGCTAACTTACTCTGCTGACTTGATGGAGTTGTTATGGCACACTTCAAACAGCCAAAGGACCAGGTGATCTCCAAGTGTTCACAGATCTGTGGAAAGACTTTTGGAGGTAAATCTTGCTCTAAGACAGTCTTAGTGAGAGTCTATCATAAGGACAAGCCAGAATTATCAGTAAAGGTTTATGCTATTCTGGATGACCAGAGTAATGTCCCACTCACGCGGCCAGAACTATTTGATCTCCTGAAGGTTGACACCGATGACATTCAGTACACAATTTCATCATGTACAGGAACTTCAGACGCCTATGGTAGAAGAGCTTCCAAATTAGTAGTTGAATCCTTTGACAGATCACACACTCTTGATGTTCCACATGTCATTGAATGTCCTCAGGTACCAGATATGAGGGAAGAAATTCCAACACCAGTTCTCAGTTATCCACATCTACTGGATCTCCAGATTCACCAACTTGACAAAGATGCACAAATATTGTTGTTAATAGGTTGAGACGTCATTGAAGCACACCATAGATTGGACCCAAAGGTTCCCCTTATGCACAGCTCTCGCTTTAGGATGGGTCGTGATAGGAGAGACATACCTCGGGAAGGTTCACCCACCCAATCATAGGATGGTCAACAAGATATACATCTCAAGGACAGGATCACCAGGGATCTGTTTTTTTTATCCATGCCCTAATAACCTTTATGTGGAAGAGATCAGCTCGATCTTTGAGGTCACAAAGGATGATGATAGACTAGGTAAATCAATGGAAGACATAGATTTCTTACAGATAATGTACAATGAGATGACTATGGGTCCAGAAGGATTCTGGACAGCACCCCTGCCATTCAAGCCAGAGAGACGTCGTCTTCCATGTAACAAACCACAGGCTTTAAATTGAGCATATTCACTGGACAGGAGTCTTCAGAAAGATCCTGTAAAACGCGCCCACTATGTAGACTTTATAAAGAAAATCTTTGACTCAAACCATGCATTAGAGGATGGTTAGGAACATTGGTATCTACCAATCTTTAGAGTGTATCACCCCAAGAAACCTGTTCAAATAAGAGCAGTCTTTGACTCTTCAGCAGTGTGTGATGGTATATCATGAACAATGTACTTTTGCAGGGTGAGGTGAGGTGAAATTGGGTTTTACGTCGTGCTTGAAAATATTTCGCTCATTTGACGACGTGCATGCGTGTGTATGTGTATGTGAGGCTGCTTGTACTAGCCCAGACTTAAGCTGGTTTTATAGTGCTAGCCCACTGAGATACCATGCCGCAGTGAAGCATGAATACCCCACTCAGACACATTAGACTGACTCCGAGCCGACCAGTTCTTGTTGTACCCATTAATGCCGAGTGCCAGACAGGGACCAACAAGACTTTAGCAGGGCCTAGATCTCACGAACAGTCTTCTTGGTGTGTTGTTGAGGTTCAGGAAAGAGGAAGTGGCAGCGATGGTAGACATTCAAAGTATGTTTCACTGTTTTCAAGTCAAAATGGAACATAGGAATTTCCAACGTTTTTTGCGGTTTGAGGATAATGATCCTTCATAAAAGCTCACCGAATACAGGATGAGGGTTCACGTGTTTGGCAACAAACCATCGCCATCAATAGCGACATATGGACTGAGGAAAGCAGCCACTCAAGGTCAAGACATTTTTGGCCTCGATACTAAGACTTTCATTGACAATGAATTTTATGTAGACGACGGTTTGACGTCATGTCCAACCCCAGAGGAAACAGTAGATCTCTCAAAGAGAACACAGAAATCCCTATAGGAGAATGGAAATCTCAGGCTTCACAAGGTTGTCTCTAACAGTAGTGTTGTAATGAAAGCTTTTCCTCAAGAGGATGTGGCTAAGAACTTGATGAATTTGGATTTGAGGACAGACAGCTTTCCCCTTCAAAGAAGTTTAGGCATGCTATGGAACATCAACACATACACTTTTCGTTCATCTGGAGAGATGAAACCATGCACTAGAAGAGGGGTGCTCTCAACAGTCCATAGTATTTTTCACACCCTTGGATTCATTGCACCTATTGTTGTTCACTGGAACCAAATCCTGCCAGAAATAGTGAGAGACAAGTACGATTGGGATGATCAGTTGGATTTATATAAAGTATCAGAATTTG